AACCGCTCTGTGCTCCCAGTCCCGAGCACTGCTGCATGTGCCCTGACCCCCAGGGCAGAGAGCAGAGAGGCCGGAGGATCTGGCCCCGGGGGCTCGGGGTTACCCAGGACCCTGCCCCAGGGCTGTCCCTGTGCTTCACTGCCAGCCCCAGGACTCAGGTCGTCCCAGGCCGGGGACACCCGCAGGCCAGGCCAGACCCCCGGCGCCCACAGCCCCCGCGCTCAGCACCTTGCCCCAAGGGAATAAAAACCCTGGTTGCCGTGGCAACAGTGCCGCTGCCTCCTGAGGTTCTGGCTGCACTTTTCCCCGCACCTTTTTGTTTATGCACTCCCCATCCGCCGCCCCACCAAGGCCCGGGACCTACTGGTCAACCTCCTCCTGGCTCTCGCCAAGCTAGTCATCTGGCGATCCAGGCAGGAGGCTCTGGCCGGGAAGGCTCCCGGTGACCTCGGGGCATTTTTCCTAGGTGTCCTTCGCGTGCGTCTCCGGGCGGAGCACCACTGGGCAGTAGCCGCCGGCAAGCTGAAGCAGTTTGCCAGCCGGTGGGCGCTGTCCGGGGTGCTCTGCTCACTGACCCCCGGGGGAGCACTTGTTTTGAACCTTTGACCCTGCACACACACCCTGTTTTCTTATGAGTTGTCCCCCGCAATGTTTAAGTAAGATTCGGGAGCCCAGCCGCCTTGCTTGTGTGAAGTGGCGGCCCCTGAAGAATTTTTTTTTTTGGACCAAGGTTCCAGGGAAGACCTGCCCGGCAACCCGCCGGGTGCCAGCACCACTAACGGCCACCTGACGGGGGGGGCCCAAGGTTCCCTATAGACATTATAGAGGTACGACAATAGTGCCTCCAGTGTGACATCACAATCCCCAGCCTAACTGTCAGCCCGGCTCTGCCCAGTGTGGCTGTGGCGTCACCGCAGCCAGTCGCACGTCCCGGTCCCCGTGTTCAGTCGTTAGTGTCTCGAGAGTTAGGTGATTAGGTGTTAGTTAGCTGTTAGGTCGTTAGTTTGAGAGTTCATTAGCCTCATAGTTTATTAGTTTATTCATTGGATAGTTCCTTATTTAGATAGTTCAGTAGTTCGTTAGTTCATCCGTTCGTTTGTAAGTTAGGTAGTTAGTTCATTCATTAGATAGTTTGTTAGCTCATTAGTTTATTCATTAGTTAGAGAGTTACTTCCCTAGTTCAGTAGTTCAGTAGTTCATTTGTTAGTTAGTTAGTTAGTTAGTTAGTTAGGTTGGTAGTTAGTTTCCTGTAGTTTCCCACCCGAGCGGCGGGAGCACGCGCCTGTTGGAGCCGTGAGTGCCCGTTCTCGCTCTGCCGTGGGCAGCACCGGGGACACCCGTGGGCCCATCATGGGGATTTGGGTGATGTGGCGAGTGGGCGGCAGGGGCTCAGGCTGTGCCAGGCCCAGGACACGGCCCCATGCCTCGTCCCTGCTCTCGCCAGCCTGGCTCCTCTCGCCCTCCTTCAGCTCAGGGCTGTATTTGTTGCAGACGCTGCGGCGTGAGAAGCTGCCACCGCTGCACCTGTGCTCCAGCACCCTGGGTGAGGTCTGGGCACCGCCCCCATGGCAGCAATGAGGGTGGCCGGCACGGGAGGCTTCAGGCCCACATGACCTCCTCTCCCGGCAGGGTTAGCCTGGCAGGCCAAGCCCCAGCTGTCCCAGGTTCAATTTGGACAGACCCGGCTCCATGCCCAAAACTGTCACCCCCTGCTCTGCACCAGCAAGGTCCTGGGGATGGGGAGCAGGACTGGCCCCCACGGGCTCCTGACTCTGCCCCTGGTCCTGTCCCATGCCCATGCCTTCGCCCTGGCAATGGCCCTGCTGCCCTCTGCTCCCTTGCAGGGTGGGCCGCATGAGCTCTGGGACCCCGTCCTTACAGCAGTGCTCAGTCCCCCCAGCCTGATGCTCAGCCCTCATCTCCCCTCAGCACCAGATGCCACCCTGGGCGCAGGCAGGCAGGCAGCAGAACAACTCCCCCCCCATTAAAGGCACTGCATTTCTACCTCCCCTGGGGGCAGGGCAGGAGACAAGGGACCCTGCACCCGGTGAGTTTGGGTCCAGCCTGAGCTGGGGGCAGGGGGGCGTTGTGTGGTTGCATGAGGAGGGGGCAAGGTCTCTGCATGGGGGCCCCCCCTCTCCCAACTCAGCCTCCATTCCCAGGGGCCAAGCTGATCCAGCCCTGAGGCACTTTCTTCCACCCTCCAGATGCCTCTTCGTGCCAGGACACCCCTCCCCAGCCTTACTGACCCTCATACCCTTGTCCCCTGGGACCCACCCCCTGCCAGGGGCAGTTGTATCTCAGGCAACCAGCCATGTCCCTGGGGTCTCTCCCAGACCTGCTCCCTGGAGGGACTCCCACCTGACCCCCGTGGAGGAAGGTCCTGCCCTTGTGGCACACAGGACTCCTGGCAGGTGCCCCACGCGCTGTGTCCCAGAGGCGCTGGTCGCCCTGCGCCCTGGCAGCAGAGTGGGTCCAGCTGATGCGCAGCCCCTTGTCTCCCCACAGGACCAGGAGCAGTGCCGGGGGGAAGTGGAGGGGTGGGGGAGACCCTCCCAGCTGTGCCGGGCAGCTCTGCCAGGGGCCAGATGTGGCCAGACCCTTCCGCTGCAGTGAGTCTCACCCCTGCCCAGGGGTTCGGGGGGGCTGATCTGTGGTCAGAGGTCTCTCACCAGGTGGCCTTTGCCCTTGCCACCGCTACGCAGTGCATGAGACCCCAGGGAGAGTTTCGCTCTCTGCCGACCCCACGGGCCCTGCAAGAATAAGGAAGGGGGTCATGGACTCATCCCCCAATCACAGGGACAGTCCTTCCCAAACCAGAGTGTCAGAGGGGACCTGGGACCTTGAGATGTGTGGTGGGGACTCACCTGACACGGGTAGTAACAACCAACCCCTGGCACCCCCTGGGCCCAGGTCTATGAGCCCTGCCTGGCCCCAGGGTTATGGGGGCTGCTATCCCTGCACCCTGGGGAGATGGGGAGCTGTCTGCACAAGGGAGTCCATCGCCCCATCAGTTCTTTCCTTCCCCAGGTGGGGAAACCCTGTGGCGGGCAGCGCTGTCAGCAGGTGAGCGGGACCTAGCCAGGCTGGGGGCTGCGAGGGGGAGCAAGTGGGCTGGGCGATGGCTGCATGGGGGGGTGGACCAGAGGGACAAGGCTGTAGCTGGACTGGGGGTTGTTGGGAAAACGCAGGGCCAGAGGGACACTTGGGGCAAGAGGTGGCTACATGTGCAGACTGATGGGCCGTGGCATGACGTCTCTCTAACCCGCACTGTCTCGTTTGCTGCAGCTGGAGCTGAAGGCGCTTTGGGCCTGGCTGGCACAGGCGGAGCAGGACATCGAAGTCATCCTGTCCTGGTAGCCATGGGGCTGGGGAGGGAGCTGACTGTTCCCGTTGTGCAGCACAGGGCTCGGGGCACAAGCCCAGGGGCCATCTCTGCCTCTGTGCGTGTTTCTCCATGGGGAAGGGGTATTTTCTGAGACGGCGCCATCCACCTCTCTGAGCCCAGAAATGGTTTCTTGCCTCCACAGCGCACAGAAAAGGGAGGAGCGTCTCCGGGTGAGTTTGCGTGGGGCAGAGGCTGCCAGGGCTGTGGCGCAGGGGAGGGAAGAGGCTGCAGCCAAGCTTGGCCAGGCTGGGGGACATCCCAGAGGCTGCTGAAGCTGGGAGCAGAGTCCCGACACATGGTGTGTGGGGAGAGGAGGGACCTGATGGGTGCGCAGAGAGGTAACGCTGGTAGGTGTGGGGCCCGATCCACTGGGCGCAGGCATGGGCAGGCTCTGACGGGCTGGGGGCATTCTCGTGCAGGCCCAAGTGGAGGTGCTGAGGAGCCAGAACCTGTTCCTGGTGCTGGCCCTCAAGGCCCAGAAAGAGCAGGACCAGGATCAGGATGACAGCCCCACGGAGGTGAGCTGCTGTGCATGCCCCTGCCCTGGGGGGAGGGGTTGTGTGCGTGTGCCCATGTGTGTGCACAGGGCAAGGCGGGACCCTGCTGTGCCAGCCCCGCAGTGGAGGGGACAGGGGGTTGCCCTGGCTGCGTGGGTGGAGGGCTTGTGTGTGCAGTGCTGGGCACCATGTGAGCTGTGTGGATGTCACAGTGGGACCAGTGGGGTGACAGGTCTGTGCTGCACTGACCTCCCCTGCTCCCTGGATTGCTGTTCCCCAGTCGCCCCCCATACTCCACCATGTGCCAGCTCTGGGCCCACAGGCTTAATTTTCTCTTCACTTATGTGCTCCTTTTTCATTAACAACAGACTTCCATGGATATGGAGGGGATGGCGGAGGAGTGCTGGCCACCCTGGAGGGGGTAAGTGGGGGACAAGGAGGGCAGGGTGAGGTGCGCGGGTGTCCTGGGTAGCTTGTGGGCTCTGGGCCAGGCTATGGGGTGTTGCAAGTGGCGCTGTTTGCATGTAGGGGAGTCCTTCCTTCTCCGGTGCTGGTGGGGATGAATTCAAGCCAGGACCAATATATAGCCAGTTTCTTTTTGTGCAACCAGAAGCATTAGCCCCCGCCAGGAAATGGAGGCAGAGTCCCCTGAGGACAAGGGGACCCAGACCAACCTGCCCCAGTTTGTAGAGGCCAGCACCCAGGCAGAGGGCCCTGGGCACAAACATGCCAGCACCCAGACCAGGGCCCTCTGCCTGTCTGAGACGGGGTGTCAGACCGAACCCCTGCCCGTGATGGACGCTAGCACCCAAACAAATGTTCACCACCGCCAAAAACGACCAGGACACGGGGAGAGGTATGGTGCCTTTTGTATTGTTAGTTTGTGAGCCTGGAATCAGAGCTAGATGGGACCTGGGTGATGATCAGGGCCTCTTCTGCCTCCAGGCAGGTCAGGATGACCCGTAATGCCCATCCCTCAGGGTGCCAGTGCCCTGAACCAAGCAGCTGTTGCCTGTGTCAGTCGCACATCATCCCTGGGCCTCTGGATCCTGTCCTCAGGCAGCGCGGGGACTACATCTTGGGAGGGGATTGCTCCTGGGCTGTATGAAGGCCTAAGAGGCGGGTGGGAGAGCTTCTTACCCTTACCGTAAATAAGTTCTTCCTGATGTCTAATTTAAATGTGCTCTGTCTGTTTGTGGCCATTATTTCTAGTTATCCCAAGGGGCACCCTGGTAAATAGAGTATCTCCTATTTCTTTCTGCCCCTTGCAACTCCCTGATGAATTTGTAGATGGCCGCAGGTCACATCTCAGCCTTCTCTTGCGGAGGCTGAAGACATCCAGGTCCCTTAATTTCTCTTCATAGGACCTTATGTGCAGGCCCTGAACCATATGAATGGCCTCTGGACCCGCTCAAGGTTATCCACGTCCCTCTTCAAGTGCAGCGCCCAAACCTGGGCACAGTTTTCCAGCTGCGCCCTTACCAATGCCGCAGAGAGGGGAAGTGTCACCTCCCCAAACCTGTTTGTGATGCACCTGCTAATGCATGATAGACTGTGGTTAGCTTTATTTATCACTTTGTCACACTGATGACTCAAGTTCATCTTGGAGTCGACTATGACTCCAAGATCCCGTTCTGCTGCTGTGCTGCTTAAAAGTCATCTCCCAGGTTGTAAGTGTGACGGTGACTCTCCCTAGGTGCAGCTCTTAGCACTTGACTTCACTTAAGTGCATCCTATTCTGTCCATAATGCATCTCTAACCAGTTACTTCTTGTGTAATCAAGAGCAGATGCCCCTCCCAGGGCATGGAGGCAGGCACCCAGGCCAGCCTGCCCCTGACCAAAGAGATCAGCACCCAGGCAGAGGGCCCCTGGCATGAAGACGCCTGCATCCAGACCAGGGCCCTCTGCCTGGCTGAGGTGGGGTGCCAGGCTGGCCCGGGGCCGACGTTGGAGGCAAGCACCCAGAGCAACAGGCGACGACAGGGGCAAAGGTATGATGCTTTTCCTAGTGCTAGCTTGTGAGAATGGGGTCTGTGTGAGGAGCGGAGGGAGGGCTGGAGCCAGGACTCTGCTCCTGGTCCTGGGAAGGGTCTCGCAGGTGGGGAGAAGGACAGGTCGAGGGCCAGGACCGCTGGTTCCTTCCCAGCTCTGGAGGCCTCTGGAGGCAACAGGTTAGTAAAGGGGAAATGACTAGTGTGTCTTCAGTAAGTCCTTTGACCACAAGTCACTCCAGCGCCCTGTGTGTCTAGGTGGGGCAGGGCTGGGGCAGGGGGTCGACAGCCCTGGGCTCTCTGTGCTGGGAGCCCTCCCTGTTGTGTATATCCAGACCGCAGCCAGGAACCAGATCTAGGCCCAGCAGCACAGGGGGAGGAAGGGAGATGGGTCCGGCAGGGCTCGCGGGGCCAGTCACTGGGACAGAGGCAGTGGTGGAGAGAGGGGAGGCTGGGGCATGGGCTGGTGGAAGTGGCAGGGCCTGGGAGTTTGGGTGTCTGCGAGGTGACCAGTGTCTCTGCCTCCCACCCCCAGTGCTGACACGGCGGCAGAGGGGAGGAGACGAAGGTGGGGAGCACTGAGAAGGTGAGTGTGCCCTTGCACCCCAGCAGCACCAGTGTGAGGGGTGCCGTCCAACAGCCCACATGATGATCAGGTGCCTCCTGACTCCAGGCCGCTCAGGATGACCTGTCCTCCCTCTGCCAGGGCTCTAGTGCCCCATAAGGACCGGCTATCTTCCATTTTGGCCCCTCATTGCCCACCTCTGGGCCCAAGGACCCTGCTGCCAGGGTTGTCACCCCGGGGTTTGGAGGTCAGAGCTTCTGGCCCCGGTCAGGCCTGCTGGGACAGAAAGCCCCACTGAGCCATGTGTGAGAACCACATACTGCTCCCGGCTGGGGAGGCTCTCCTTTACCCCATGGTTGTTCCCTGGGGCTTAGTGTGGGGCCAAGATCCATCCCATCCCACTCATACTAGTTTCTTCTCGTCTGGCCTGCATCCCAACCAGAGCATTCCCTGACTCTGCCCTTCTCCCAGAGACTCGCCTGGATTGTCCCATGCTGTTTTGCCCCCAGGAGATGAACAGCTGAACTCCTCCCCTCCCCATGCACCTCTGTCCTCCCCTGCCTCCATCCTCCCCTGCCTGATCCGGGATGGGCCCACAGGATGCCAGCGTTGGTGATTCTGCCTCTCTGAGCATGTAAGAGGTTTCCTGTTCCTTCTAGGTTTCCGCAGTCTCTTCTTTTGTCTCGTTGTCTTGGGCCTGCACGCTCCAACTGAGGGGCTGTCATGACCTTTAGAGCTTCTTCGGGCTAGAAGGAGCCATGTCCTTTGAACATGTCCATAAGCCAGGCAGGCTGCAAGTACATCTGAGCTATAAGGCAAGGAGGATGCACAAGTGTGAACAGCAAATCAAGCGGCATGGTATGAGCCACTGCTGCATTCCTCCGGTTTTACACCTGTTCAACTTTCTGGCTTTAAATGGAGTGCCCTTGTCCTAGATCTGGACCATCAGATCTGGACTGTACAGTCCAGCCCAATTCCATCAGACTGATGGTTAGGTTTTCAAAAAGGCTTAAGCTTGATATGCCCAGCTTTGCTTCTTCTGAGTGATGTAGGGTCAACTGCTGCCTTCTGAGTCAAGGGTGGTATTTGCCGGCCAGGGGCCAGTCTGTGACTGGGGATTGCTTCTCTTGGTGCCCCACTCTCTGGCTGGAGCTCTCAGGGGGAGACCAGCGCTCTTGCCAGTGTTACATTGCTGTCTGATGGACGACCTCCAAAGTATCCAGCTGGAAACTCCACGTTTCCTAGAAATAATGTCTCTTGTCCTTGTTCTCAGAGCCAAGATGTGCATATGGGCCTAAACATTTTTGTGGATGGCTGCAGCTTTTATAATGAAGGAAAATGTTTGTGACCACAGGTCATCATTCAGACAGCCCTGGGGAAGATAAAGTAACCAGGCTATATGCAGGCTGATCCATCCCTTACCACTCCTCCAAACCCCAGCCCATCATGTTCCCATTTGCTTGTAGCATTCAAAGCCCTAGGAAATCTTCATGTTGAGATTGGCCCCCTCACTCTCATGTATCCTTGTAACAGGCCTCCACCTGCTGCAGCTCGGCACTGAGGCTCAGGTGCCCTGGCTGCAATCAAGGCAGGCAGTGCCATGCTAAACTGAGGACCCCACCGCGATTGCTCCGAAGACTGGTTGGAACAGCCTAAGAGAGGCCCAGAGAGAGAGGCACCCGGGGCTTGCACTGGGACACTTGAAACAGGATTGGATGCTTTGCCAGCTGCCAAAAAAATCTGGCAGTTTTCCCCAAGCCCACCACACTTGGGGAAGCATTGGACAATTTTCCAGCTTCTATAGCATTTAGGAAAAACCTGGAGGCTCAACTCACCACTGCAAGGAGTCCAGCAGGCTCCCACCACAAACCAAAATACCCAGAGAAGTACCACACCGCTCTCCGGACTGCCGGAGCATCGGGTACACAAGTGGATGCTCTCCCTCCCAGCACAGATGCAGCAGGGCCCCAAAATGCACACACAAAACCTGTGCAGAAGCCTCCAGCTCAGGTGTGGATGGGAGAGGGCTATCCAGGGTGACCTGAAGTGGGAAACAGGCTCCAGCGAGGAGGCTTCCCAACACCACGTACCCAACCAGTACACCTGCGGGCTTGAAGCACCCCAGCAGGAGGCCAGCAGGAAAGCAGGCCTCACCCAGGCACAGTGGTGCCCACCATGAGATGGTGCCATACCTGGCCTCGTGCCTGGGCGGGAAGAACTCTTGCAAAAATGGCAACAGGCCAGGAAACATAGGGGCCCGGTGGGGGGTGAGAGAGGAGAGCACCAGCACAGGCCAAATCCATGCCCAAGAAAGGGATTGTAGAGCAAGCAGGCATCGTGGCCTTGCCTAGCTGCGCAGTATGAGCTAATCAACTTCCATGACCTTTTCAGTTGTGATTTTGCACACAGAAGGCAGAAGCAGAATCCTTGTGGTCACAACTCTCGCCAGACACCTCGCACAGGAGAAAAGACAACGTCATCATGCCGAGATGTCACCACGGCTAATTACAAGACCCGAGTAGAAAGGGGTGAGCTGCAGGGAAGGAGGAGCTCCAGACAAATCATGAACATGCTGTCACACCTGGACCCCCAGGGAACCACTGATCCCCACCTCCAGGCAAGTGAAAGTTCACCCAGTGGAAACAACAAAGTTGTGGTGTGGTGTGGTGTGACCCAGGCGGGTGGGATGTGCCTGCAGCCCAATGCCAACTACACTGAGCATAAGCCTGTCACAAACCCACTCCCCCTTGCAGTAAAAGTGTTTTCTATCAATATGCCTTCCCCTTTCTGACACCAGGTCAAGCCCAGGATGATTGCAATGAGGCCTGATGTTGGCAGTGGGATCCTAGTCGAGAAGCAGAGAGGGGTGAGGATGCTGCAGCACTACAGACTCCCTGTGCAGTTGGCCTAGGCACAGCAGGATGCCTGATCCAGCCCATTGCCTGACTTCCGATTGCATCCAGAGCTGCCGTGTGTCCCGAGGCCAAATATCAAGCTGTCACGGTACACCTTCTTTTCAACCTTTCCGTGTTCTGGGAATTGTAGGAGAATGCCTTGGGGGCTGCCTGACATAGGTCAGGGTTGTCTTTTTCTCCTGCTGCCTGTCATAGTGCCCCGCATACAGCATGTCCCACAACATAATACACACCTTGTTCGAGGAAGACAGAATGGAGAGAAAAAGCTCTTTACGTGTAGGACCGAACTGGGGAGCAGCAGCAAGGCACCTGAGCCGACTCATTGCTCTGCACCCTGTAGATCACATGAAGGTTTGACTTTATTGCTCCCAGGACCTGGCAGAAACTGCTCTTACTCCATGTCTTCGTGTAATGGATAATGGGATTTCCCACAGCGGGTTATTTTTCAAAGAAAGTGTTTGTTGTATTTTGAAAAAGACAGTACTTCGTAGGCTGACATATTAACAAATCCCTGATCCTGCAGGAGAGGATCTGCTGGGAGCGAGGGAATGATACCCAGTAAGATCCTGGAGAGCTTGAATGAGCACAGCAGGGCTAAGCCGATCCTCTCTCAGTTTTGCTCTCTCCGAATACACACTTTGCTGCACAAGGAGGTTGCAGAAGTCCCAATCTTAGTGGGGCGCTGCAACTCAAGCCCCAAAGCTTTGGTCCTGGCAACTAGCCCTGCAGCTACCTTTCCCTCTCTGCAAACAGGCAGGCATTCATCCCTTGAGTGGGCTGGGGAGGGACACTGGGACACCATTTGAGCTTATATTTGAAAGGCTCTGGCTGGAGTGGGAGACAAGCTTGTGTTTTTGTCTTTTCCTGAGTATCCTGCTCCAGTTCTTCCCTCTCCTCCCCCAAGCACCAACCCCACACAATACTTGCCCAAAGATTAGAGCGATAGACAAAGTGTCTGTGCGCATGTCTGCAATACACTGGCTACTACCAGTGGGTACGACAGAACTAGCCTGTCCAAGTGCCTGTCCGAAGGGTCTTCATTTTCCTGGTGTGGAAATAACAGGGGATTGATTTCACTCATACAGGCTTTTAGTTCTGCTTTCTTTTTCTCTCTCATAGGCAGAAGCCTGTCCTCTCAAGCCATCCT